ATACAATTTTTATATCGTTTCACTATTTAAAAGGTTTTTGAATATTTGTTCAAAATCAACATGTATATTGCCAGAAAAACAAATTTTTGACGTCACGATATTGTAAGTAGAACGTTAAAACGTCAATATAAGGTTAAGAAAATGGAATAAAGATCAAACAACTGCAAAATAGTACATTCATCATATTTGTACACAAGTTGTAAACGTTTTTCTACCGCGTTCTACAAAAAAGAAAGAAAGAAATAGTGCTCAAAGCATTTCCGAATCGGTCTGTTAAATGTTTCTGCTCTGATACATTAGTTCAGTATATGGGAAAGTATTGTGTACAAATCTTTCAAATGAAATGAGTTCTACAGGAAAAAATCAATTGTTTAAACATTACCCTAGAACAAAAAACATATTGCAGCCGTTGCCTTTTGTGTAATGCCCGTTTTTAAAATGTACGTCACGGTTATTTACTGCTTAATTTTAGTAGGCCGATAAAACACCAATTTCAATGCCTTCATTTGTTGTCATCCTGAAATTTGTAAATTGTTAAGGTCAGCTGACACTGACATCAAAAAAGAAGAAATATATTTGTGTAAATTATAATACCAATGTCAGTATGTTTACATAAATAAAAGTTTTCTTTGCATGACTTCTATTGCTATACTGTATATTTTTATACCCGTTACATCGGTGTAACAGTGCATTTAAAACCATACATTTGTAAACGTATCCATTTGTTAGAAAATAATTTTTTTCATATTTTAATTTAGTCGTCACTAAATGTATATGTATATAGAGAGAATGTTGCATGTAGTTGCTCAATGAAAATTAAACAATGAAGAATTGTATTTACACGAGTATTTTTTTTAAGATGAACTTCATATGCATGTTATTCTTCTCTCATATAAAAATCATTTTCGTTTATAAATAAAAATACCCTTTGAGATTTTGCGAGTGTCAAAGACTGAACGGATCTTTGTAAGCGAAAGTTCATTGCCCGGGTATTAATAGATTTCAAATCGTGTTTATCTTCTTTACTTTTTACATATTTTGTGTGTATAGCTGGGACAAAACAAATTAGTTTGTTGTTAGTGAAAAAGATTATACAAGTTATTAGTGAAAAGATTATACAAGTTATGATTGGTAAAGCATTGTGATCTAATCAATAAGGAAGTCTACCAGTTTAAAGGCAAATAATTTGCAAAATATGCGATGTAAAAGATTAGAGGCGTATACATTAAAATTTATGAAATTAAAGTAAACGCCTAATTTATGCATGAGAACTTTCATAGCCAGTTAAATGGATAAATTGTATGAAATAAGTCATGCATGTTTGAAATACGAAACGATTCTTTCTTTCTTTCTATGTTCATATTCTGTTGGTTTTATTGCTTGCATAATTTCCTCATACGGGTAACTTGTCTAGCAAAGTAATTTGAACTACATGCCCAGATCAAGTCCTTTTAATGACACTAAATCATTGAATAACACGGTGTACATGACAAAATTGTTGATATATAGTCCATTAAAGTGTAATCTTTATAAACTGTCTGATTTTTTCCATCCAAAAATGAATACATGATAGGAGCTTTCTAAGACCCCACACAAGTGTTGTTTTATCTGTTTTACTGAGTTGACTACAACCATAATCAATTATTCCTGGTCTTTTGGCATTTATCTTATGCAAATTCGGCCGATTTGTTTTCTTTTTATGAATTGATTTGGTGGATATGATTACACCTAATGAAATGATACACTATTGCAGTACATTCAATTTTGTGATAATGAACTTACCCGTTTCTCTTGCTGGCAAAACCAGAAGAATCAATGAAACACCTACAATAAAATTTAAAACAGAGATGATCCATATTTTCTGATTTAAGCTTGGGTTTACTTTCATTTATGTAAAAAAGCAGTTTACAAACATGTGGAGAAACAGCGGTTGTATTTACTTCATGAATTGAGATATCTATGAATTCCTACATGTGATTTTTAAGTGAATGTTGTTATCATGACAGATTATGTATCAGCAGTCAAGAAAATTAAAAAGGCGACTTATTATTTATCTATCGTTTAAATTACCCATTGTGGCTGAGTGGTTGCCTTTACAGAGTTCATCCTTTATCCGTGCGTGATCGTAAGAGGCGACTTAATGGGTTCGAATGACTGGAGTCTATTCATCTCTTAGCTCCAGCAGGTGATGTGGTTTTGACCCCTAGTGTTGCTTCAAGATTGCAACACCTGAGGGTAGACAAAATTTATTTTCGGCGCCTAAATTGTGTTGGTGCGTCATGAAACCAAACAACACAAATAAGTAATTTAAATTGCGATCAACATAGTTGTTTTACTAAATTATATCTAATAGTTAGTGTCAAAATCATCAAAGTGTACTCACAAAGACACAAGTTTTTCATGTTTCCCTTCTTTGATATGCAAATCTACAAATGGTGACCCCAAGAGATCTTGGTCTGGAAAAATATGTGCCTCAATATGAATTGATGCTTTCATTATGTATTATGTACATTGTGTTGAATAAGTTGGTACCGGAAAATGTTGAATAAAATATCGTTGATCCTGTTGAAGTGTTCTTATTTTTCAAATGATGTTAATGTATTAAATTCAAATGAAATATAAGTTTTGATTAAAATCTATTGTTTTCATAAACTCTGACAAATGGATGGACATAAAACACCAAAAAAAAAATAATGATAATAATAATAATAAAAATAAAAAATTAAAAAACAGCAGAAAAAAATATTAGCTGAAAAATCTTGAGAGTAATATTAAAATGTACTTACAGATTCGTAGCCTTTTGTGTTCAATTTGCTAGTCGATGTTTAGTTATCGTAACTTTATTTTCTATTTAGTTTATATATTCTTTTTGTAAAATTTTCAAGGCCAAAGGCGTTTGGTTGTTTGTTGCCTGTACATTTATCTTATCTTCCTTAAGATGGATGAAATGTAAAATAAAAAAAACAAAAGTAGAAACAATTTTTATATCCCGTCAAGGTTCGCAGATTTTTATTGTCAGTATTTATTGTCATACAAACTCTCCTGCCAGTGTTTCTAGGGGTGTTCAAATATGAATGTAACTTGGCCAATATCTCGCTTTTAACCACGTTTTTAACGAACTATGTACATGTATCGCATAGGATCTCAATTGATACATAAATACATACATGCAAATCAGTTCAGTCTAACTTTGACAATAGCTCCATTAACGCTATATACTCGTGTATACTAAAGCTCAAAAGGTTGGGAAAAGGTCTCCTCCCACTGACCAAATACGGTCCTATATAAAATACCGCTGTATTCTTGGTATATAGGCGAAATACATATTTAATGAAATATGTCGTGTTTATAGGAATAATGAAGATTCTTTTTAATCTGTAACAAAATTAAAAGTGGCGTTGATTCAGTAAAAAAATGCACCTCATGCACACCGTCCGAAAACTGCAACTTTGCCAAAAATGGTTGAAAAAGTTAAGGATTTGTTTGCTACTGATGCAAGATTTACATCTAGGTATAAAGCTAAATGCGTTGGTACCTTTGAAGGAGCCGCTCATACAGTTCGCAGACGTAATTTCTAAATGAGAAGGATAAGTGATAGATGGATACACCATCTCCTTACAAAAGAGCATAAAGTTGCTCGAGTAAGAATTTCCAAACAATTGTTGAAACAGTTCCTTAGATACAACAATCGATCTTTCGCAAATATCATCACTGGCGATGAGACGTGACTTTTATGAGCCCAAGCGAAGGACGCATAACAAAATATGGACAACCAAAGGAAGTAAAAGATCTTGCATAGTAAAACGCAGCATGAGCGTCATGTAATTTTCTTTACAAATCAAGGTCCTGCTATTCAAATCGCCGTACCAAAGGGTAAATCTGTAAATGCCAAGTTTTACAAGGCAAGGTCCTTCATAAATAAAAGAAATATTTAAGAAAAAAACCTCGACCAGCAAATAGTCTCCATGATGTCAGGTTGTTTCCTGACAATGCTTTGTTACACAAAGCGGTCATTGTAAGATAATATCTGAAACAGGAAAAGGTTGTCGAGATTCCTCACAATCCTAATTCGCCAGATCTTGCCCCTTTTGATTTTTTCTAAGGATAAAAACAAAACGCGAAAAAATCTCGGTTCGACTATTTTCCCGTGTCTGAACAGCTTACCTCGAAAAGATAATGAAAACGCATAAAAAATTGTCTTAAACTTTGAAATTTTGAAAGATCGAGATAAATATTTTGCACTGTCTGAAAATCTACGCAGTTGCAGTTATATTTCAACAGTCCTCGTACTCACCTCGATATATAGAAAATAATGGATGGGGGATCGGCTTTTGTATATAGGATTTTCTTTATGAATGAAATATAAGAAGAACCAATATTACTTTGCTTGGTCTTTTTGTTTAAATAAATATCATGTTTGTGTGATTTTTGCTCACCCTAAGCTTGATTTTTTATGTAAAATAAAAGTACCATAGTTTGACGGGTGTATTGTATTGGCTGTCGTTGAAGGAAAAGTTTATATTATTTATCATTGCAATTATATTTTTAATAAATACTATAATTGTGTCCGGTTTATTGCGTTCATTCAATTCCGCCTATCTTTGTTGTTATTGTTTATCATATTTTATACCGTTGCTTATACCACTGTTTTAATTTTTTTATTTTAAAATATATTTAGCGATATCAGTATCAAAGACTTGATACAAACATGATCCTTGTTTGCTATTGTCATAAAAACCTTCAGTAAACATACCTTTTGGTATTAGTACAATATCTTGTGTCTACGTGCGAATTTACCATTGTTTATTTTTCATATTTATACAACGTACATTATAAAATTTTTGTCATTGCATGTATTTGTGTTTTGTTGTTTATTAACGCGTATACCGATACATGATGATTAAGACGAAAAAAATTATCAGTCGTCTGCATATTAAACCGGAAGTAATGTACATGTTACATCAACAAACCTTAAAATGTTGTCTGTTTGTATCGGTTACTTTTGTAAAAAAATATCCTGCTTGAAACGCAGAAATACCAGTTTATCAAATAGATCGACTTTAGAGACTCCAAAACCAGGCTGCTCGGGTATTTATGAATGTGTATGACCAACCTAGTGATGATCTCAGAAAATCTCTACATTTTGTTACCAGTCAGGGCATGAATTGTGTTTAAAGTAATTCTTATGTTTTCCGAGTAATACATGGAACAGCTCCAACGTATCTCATAACTTTGTTAAATTGTGTGAGAAGAAAATACAGTCTAAGATCAGTTGCTGATGACACTTGTTGCCAAGACGCAGGACCAGACTTGCTGACAGCTCTATTTCTGTTATGGGACCTAAATGGTGGAACGCCCTAACAAAAGACTTAAAGTGTATTGCTTCGGAAATTGCATTCAGAAAAAGACTGAAAGCACACTTCTCTGAACAATTTTATAGATAAACAGTTTCGTCAAATGTGTATATAGATTTAAACTGTGGAAATTACTTTGACATTATAGGATCTTGTGAAGCGCAACAGAATATAACTGTATAAAGTGTCGCGCTATAAAATTACCTATGATTGATTGATTGATTGATTGAACGCAGAAATAAAACGCATCAATGTGAGAATGATGACACTGCAGAAAAAAGATAATTATGCAAAAATTTGAAACCCCTAATTTTAAGATAAATTCGCATGCTACTGATTCGCATAATTACTGTTTAATCACCCTTAGGATATGTGGCCTTCTTATCTATGATATGCAGGCTTAATAACTTCTTGTCCCCTTTTAAAAATTCTATTTCGTTTAGTTTTGTCGCCGATTTGTTTTTGTACTGCTATGAAAGATACTTTATGTTGAGTCTCTCTGAAGATAAACAACAAGATGTTATAGTCGCATTTAATAATACTTCCAGATACATTGATGATGTTTTTAATTAAGAGAATCCTTATTTTGTTCAAATGGTGTCTGACATTTATCCGCATGAACTACAACTTAATAAAACGAACTCTTGAAATTTTAGTACATCATTTTTGGATCTTCATATTACTATCAACAACAATTCTATCACACGAAAATCTATGATAAAAGAGATGACTTTGACTTTTGTTTAGTTAATTATCCACATTTAGATGGAGACGTACCCCATGCAACATCTTACGATTCGCTAGAGCTTGCAGCAACGTAAAGGATTTCAACGAGCGGAATATATTTCTTACCAGCAAGCTTCTAAAACTGGGCTACCGCTTTCATAAAATACGAAAATATTTTACTAAATTTTACAATCGTAACTTTGATTTAATTTCTAAATTCAATAGTGATTTAAAAACTCTTCTGCGACAAGGGATTAGCCAGCCTGGTTTTTATGGCGATGTGATTTACAAACTTCGTAAGATTTTGGGTCATGGTAATTTTTCCTCTGTTTTTACTAAAATCATTAAACGTTTTATTAAAAGAGGTTATGGCCCTACTATTTTAAGACATACTGCATGTTTAGTGTTCACCCCTTTTACAGTTGGACACTACGCTTTCCTCTTTTGATTAAATCTGACGCACCAAGTGGGACACTCTATGATGGATAGTTCTTTAAGCCCTTTGGGACTGAATTGTCTTAATGTTCATCTTCTGCCTTGCTTCGTCGGGCCCTTGTAGGTGATTTTCATGTTGCTCTGTCTTCCTTTAGGACATTGAGTACTTTTGTTATGGTCATTTGATTTACTTTTATATGTTTCTACATGATCATATTAGTGTTTTACTTATTTAACCTTTTGTAACCATGACGACTGTTAGAATTTCACTTGGCGGGGATTCATTTTATTTACATTGTCTCGTTTATAGGAACATGTTTGGGCTAAGAGCGAGGTTTGGTGCACCATTAACCGGTTTAAACTCCCCAGCAGTCATTATTATGTTGCTGACCGTTCAAAGGCGGCGCCCCTCTGTGTTCCTCACAAGTATGTCTATGTTGTTTCATACCGTTTGGTATGTCTCTTGTTGTTTTCTCGTCTACGGTAAGTATCTTCCCCATTACCTCTAGTTTTTATTTCTTTGATTACCCCCCCCCCCTTCCCCCGGTTTCTTGTCCCCTTCCCCTTTGTGGGCCTATTGTTCTTTTCTTTGAATTCCTAATCAGTTACAAATTATTTATCATTTAATGATTAACCTGTGCGTGCTCTGTCTTTGCCCTGCCCTGTTTTTGTTTGGGGTCCGCCTGGGCTCCTTGCCACTGGTTCTTGTTGCTGGGTCATATGGGGGTTGCGTTCATTGAACACCGCCTTTCCTTGTTGATCTTGTTTATCATATTTTTGCACATATGCATCCATCGACCTAAAACGTCTCTTAAAATGGGTGCTAAATGGAAAAAGTTAATTCCGATGTATTCTCCATTCGTTGATAGATGTGCAGAAAAGGTATCCAAATTGCAATGCACGGTCTTTAGTAAATGTCGTGACCGGGGACGAAACTTAAGTTCATTTTTAAAGAGCCAAAATAAGATTTGGGCTACAAAATTTGGCAAAATACCATGCATTGCAAAAAGGACAAGCAGTTTAAAGAAGGTGATTTATGCCATTTTCCTTACTACTCAGAGTCCCGCAATTAGATTGAAATCCCTAAAGCAAATCTGTTAATACTAAATTTTTACAAGTCACTCGTGGCCACAACATAGTACCTCGTGGCCAGGACATAGTATCTCGTTCCCACGACTTTACTATTTCGTGACCACGACTTAGTAACTCGTGGTCACGACATAGTATCTCGTGGCCACGACATAGTAACTCGTGGCCACGACTTAATAACTCGTGACCACGACATAGTATCTCGTGCGCACGAGATAAATAAAAACACACACATGTCACCTTTGCAACGCCGTAAATTTCCTTTTGTTTTTAAAAAATATTGTCACTGTTATTTGGTTTAAGCATAACTTTCTTGCAGGACTTTTACAAATTGATGATGCCCTAGCTGCATATTGAACAGAAATCTTTTTATTAGAAGTTGAACCAAGTCTTACTTTAAAGATTTTATCAGCAAGAAATGTAGACATAAAGATTGGAAGTCTGCTATTTAATCCTGATCCGAATACCGTGTTTCCAGGCAGTATCATAAGGCTTTACAAGATCAAATTGATTTGAAGCTAAGAGCTGTTTAAAAGAAAAAAGGTTCCCTAATAAAAGATTCGAGGTGAACATGATGAGTGTTTGTACTATGTTGATCATGGAAACGTGACTGAAAGCTACAAATTATTCCTTTAAAGCAGCACGCCACCAGATGTATGCTAATTTTAATGAATGTTTAAAAGATATATTAAAAAGTAAAGTATTGTTAAGTGAATGTAACTCCTTTGAAAATAAGTATTAAAAGGGTGAATATAAGTCAAGGATTTGGTAGGTTCTGAATCTTTTTTTCTGTTAGCACAGCATGTCTCTTAGACAAATCAATCATCAAGCATATCACTAACTATAACCAGTTAACCACACTCTGAAAATACAAAATTTACACATTTTAATAAATATTACATTTAACATTCTTAAATTGCATAAATAAATCAATCAATCATAATCATTCCAGTGGCTTTTAATTAACATCAAACATTTTATCATACAATATCATAAAACATTTATACATTTACAACAATATATCACACTTAATTAACAGTTTAACCCCACATACCACACCACACACCTTTGCAGAGCTATTTATAAACACCAGTAAAATGATTTTTGTAACTATAGCAGGGTTTTTCTTGGTTATGATACATGCGAAATAACTAAGATCTGTCATTGTATCTTTACATAAGAATACATACGGCCCTTGAGGCATTGTCAATATTGATCTAAGGAGCGTGATTCATAATAAGTATTGTAGAAGTCAACAGGTCGAATATTTGAATATATATGTTGTTATAGTGTATAATGAAATAGCGCTTGCATCTTTATATAAGCCCATCAGGGCCAAACAAAGATAGCATTGAGTTACTCCAGACATCTTCATTCGTGTCCAAAGTTTTGTGGAAAAATGCCTTTAAAAATTGATATTTAATATGTATCATTAACAACTTATTACTTAGTGACTTTACAAGTTTTATGTTTCGTCAGTTTTAATTAATAAGATTGTCTTATTTCAAAATAATTAAATCTAATACACCTATATCTCCTAAATGATAAGTACTAAAGAGAGAAAAAAACCTAGAAATATTTTGGATAAAAACCCAATAAAGAAAAATATATTTAGACATAAAGGGAGGTAACATGCTAATATATATAGAGAAAAAATAATAATCAATTCATATATGGTAGTCTCCCTTCAGTATATTAAAACTTATATAAGGACTTTTAATGGGTAGATGTGACCTTTTTGGTTCCCCCGAGAAAGCCTAAATCTTTGCTCTTCACATAATCTCAGTATAAAAATATTTTTGAGAGTTTGTAAACAAAGAGGTGCGATTTCAACGAACGCATAGACATTAGTTGTAGAAATATGACAGTGTAAGGATGTTAATCCATCCTTGCGTAAAATATCTTGATCTCAGAAAATTATTGAAATCTATGAAATTCTTACCGAATATGTCTTATTTGATTATAAGAAGGAATAAACTACGTATTGGAAGCTGCAGTCCATATAACAAGTGTATCTTTAAAGACAACTGCCAGTTTTTAATGACACTATATAATTATCACCTATATTATGTAGGGTTTTAAACATAGCATATCATGTTTATTCTATAGATTTTTAGATTTTAGATGTTATTTCCAAATACATGTGAGTATTATACCTATGAGTACACAGCATACAATACATACATACATACAGAAACATAATATCAAGGTCATAAACCATATATAACATATATTAAACATTTACTGTATATTTGGTTTAATATAAACAGAATTATCATATAACAGCAAGGTTTAAATAAAGCACAAGTTTTGCATAACGATATCAATTAAGTAACATTGCATTTCCCTTCCTAGCTACTATAATTTACGAATATTATATCTACCAAGAGACTGTGTAAAAATTATCAATATTTTTTAATATCAAATTTGAGCATAGTATATATTAAAAAGTATAATAATGAATCGTGAAGAACATAAAATTACACAATTTGGAAATGATACATAACTTCTGTAAGAAAATAAATCACTCAATACTGCTTTAAAATTACTAAAGGGATCAAAGGAAGGGATGCCTGTAATACATTAATAGATCAATTAACTTAAGGCAAGTTTAAAATGTATTAAAATTTCAGGCACGAACGGGCACCTGAGTAGAACCACCGACGTTCTGTAAGCTTGCTAGAAAGCTTCCTCACATGAAAGAATCCAAAGTCCCTGTCGGGATTATAACCCACAGCGGTGAGGGGCAAGTGGTTTGAAGTCAACAACCGTAACCACTCGGCCATGGACGCCCCTACATTCATGTGTACTACATGTTCTCTGTATATATACATCATATGCATTATAATATGTTCTAAAGTGTTCTACATATAAACTTACCAGACTGATATGTATCTCCTTCCAGTGCCTCATTTGCACCCTGATTAGTGGCCCGTTCCTGTTTTAACAACAATCGTCTAAGTTTGGTGGAGGGGGATTTTGCCTTTTCTCTCTTTTTTTCCCGCTGTTTCATACATTTCTCTGCATGACGAACTGTATGAGTCCCAGGTGAAAGACCCAACATTGAGTAACCCTGTTTTTTACAAGTTAATAATTTAATCATTTGATAACAATAGGTTATGTGGTGTTTTTTTGGAAAGAAATTATGAAAAACTAGTAGCAGCTTATTTTGTATAGTAACAAAGACTATGATTTTACTCATAATTATGACATCATGTGTTAGCAAATTGTCTTTTATTGGTGGCGGATGAAAAGTTTCTCTTGCAATGTGTGCATAATAGAAAATCCTGTCTGATATTTAAGAACATATTAGTACATCTTTTATAAAATTTATTGTTTAACTATGCATTTGATTGTAGATTGAATAATGAAAACTTAAATTCTTTATTTACTTACATTACATTCTGGACTTCACAGAAGTCTATGTCAATAGGTCCAACAAACAGGTATATGTAAAGAACAACAACAACTTCTGAAATGATAACAAATAAACAACTTCAACATGATCAACAAGTAAACAACTCAAACATGATCAACAAAAATAATTGTATTATGATCAAAAACAGCAACTATAAAAAAGATCCATATTAACATGGTAACTGAAATATAACGAAAAACTGAAAAACATCAGTTAACTGTAAACAAATGAAAAAAGAAAAGTAGAATCAAAACTGCAACCATACCTTAGAAATATAATGCCTTCCTTCATTTATGAATGCTGCTGTTGCATGGACACGATAATCAAGACTACTGGAGTTTCCATAGTGATGACTTTTAGGTGCTCTTAGTGTGACCTCTTTGTTTGCGTGCTCACATTGTTGGCTCGAACCAAGATCTATATAGTGACCAGCATTATATATTATTGGATCAAACAACTGTTGTAATTTTTGTCTGAGATTACTGTCCTGGAGTGAAGTTTTATATGGAAGGCTACGATGTGTGTAGCTGGAACCAGGCTTCCGTTTGTAACCACAAAACCTTGCATTACACAAACTATGACCACCAAACTGATGTGGAACTATAGCTTTTAGGTTTTCTTCCATTTTCTGCAATTCTTATGTTATTTTGTTGTGATTGATGCTTCCGAGGGATCACTTTGCTTCCAGAATTTTGTCCACCTAGACTATCAATCATGGCTGAAAAGAGAGTGGTAGATAAAATCAATTATCTGTAATAATGAGAATCATGAAATATATATTTTCAAAAAGCTATAAACATTCAAAAGTCATGGGTTTATTTTACATCAAATATTAATTTGACAAAGTGAAACTGTATGTGCACCTTTCCCTTCAAATTTGTCTGTGTTAAATTAGGGTTTTTCTTTTCTTATATGATTAATACTGGAAAACGGCACTGTTCCCAAAAGAAGCAATTTTCCCAGTTCATGACTGATAAATTCCCTAAATAAAACTGATTTTTGTTCTCAGTTTATTTAGTACTTTGCGTGTTTTGCACCTAAACATTATTTTTTGTACCCAGTTCATTTCGTACTTTAAGTGTTTCACACCTAGACATCTTTTAATATGTAAAACTGTATTATGCATATTTTTTGTCTCCCTGGATAAAAATGTTCCCAATGAATAAGGTGCGAAATTCCCAATTTGAGTCAAACCGAAGCATTTTTCAAATTCATCCAGTACCGGCATCATTTCAAAAGCAAAGGAAAAAACACTGTTACAATTAAGAGAATAATTAAACGGGTAAATGTAACAGGACTAGCAAGGGAGTATTTAAGAAATGTTTTGTCTTGTGGCACTGATTTTTTTTTTAGTATTTAACCAGTGAACCAATTCTTTCAGTTTATTAACCAACTACATACCTGTTCCAAGCTTGGTGTTCACAACGAAGCATGGCATTCCTTGATCTGTTGATTCTTAGAGGATGTTCTATGCGTTTTTCCATAGGCTGCATAATTCACAAAACGGCAATTTTGACATTCCACGTATAAATAACCCGACATACCTTTTTGAAGTTCGCCTCTTATTGTGTTGACTGACAGTGTTACTGGCCCTAGACGACAGTTTTTACAGTACCGTAAATTTTCAAACAGAACCTCCAATTCCACCAATCTTCCTCTAACTTTCCAAGATTCTCCTTCAACACATCTAATATCTGGTTTAGAATCAGAGTTAACACAATAATCGTGGTCATTTTGCACTTTCTCCTGCCGCCACGCTGTATAATTTCTCTTTGTGAATTGGCCTTTCTTATTTCTTTCCATTGTTTTCGATAGAACGTTGGTCGCGGAAAATTGGTTACTTCCGGTAGATTTTTTTCATATTTTTAAAAAATCTTTTAATAAATTGAGAAATTTGCTCTAAAGATATTCGTATTATTTCAAATAATGACATATTTTTAAACGATATATATAAAAATACGTGACGCAAATAAATTTCAATATTTTTTCCGAAAGTCACGGACTTACCCGACATCGACCGATCTTTTTAAATTATGGCGGGAAATAATTAGAGTCGCACTAGCTTAAAAAGGATAATAATGAATCGTGAAGAATATAAAATTATACAATTTGGAAATGATACATAACTTCTGTAAGAAAATAAATCACTTAATACTACTTATTTACTACCCATGAAAGATACATAGTTTCAATTGCTAGGTTTAATATTCGTTGTTGATTTTGAGAACATTGTGAGCAAAAATATTTCAAGACAATCAGGACTGAGAAAAATGTAGTAAAATTTTAAGTAAAAATTTCACTATTTAAGAATTTATTTACATGTCATACACAATATATGACGGGTTTTGCAGTCGTTTACCCTATTTTTACTGTGCATGTTACTTACGCAGTAAAGGATATTTTTCCATTTCCGAACCTATTTTTGAAGCAATCTTTACAACATAAAGATAGTGTTCCAAAGAATTTGCAAAATGGCAATCAAATGCATCCTTCTCTTCATTGGTCTCACACTGCGACATCACTCGTTATATCTGTATATTATATGAGAAACCAAAAACAATATGCAAATATGCATATCATTTATCTTAATTTCAGAAGTTATTGATTTTGGTATAAAATTACCAATAATCAATAAAGTACTGTAGTCCCAATATCATTTTACGCCAATGTCAACCATATTATCACGTCGTCTGGTGAAAGTAATTAAAAGCTTTGAAGATTGTCTTCCAAATCAATATAAACCTCCATCCGACGCAGTCAAAAGTTGAGTAATTGTTTGCAGGTGTACAAAGTTAAGTTTGCGTGTCATACTTCTTCATTGACTAAAGCTACTAAACAAGTGCATTGTACGATGTATCGTTTACAAGATCCTAAACAATTGTAAAGAGATAAGATTGTTATGTTGATCTTTGCTTTCCCAAAACTATTCAAATGGGTTAACTGGGACATCCAATTATATATGCCCCTGGTTTAAAACATTCCTATATGTACTCTACGTTTACGGTTGGGCTACATTTTGATATTATTAACTTTCAGTTGATGTATAATGTTGAATTGCTTCACCGACCCTTTACCTGACAAAGATTGCAATAAAATACGAAAAGTAAATGGGTGTGAAGTTGTAGAAATAAAAGAAAATGTTCGCTCATTCCGGTTACTTTAAACCGGAAGTATCGTTTTCAATAATTACTAAAAATCATCCGGATTGTTTTCATTAGCGTAAATTCGATTTGTGCGCCAAAATATTGCATTTGGTAATTTATTTTTACAATTGATTTGTTGTACAGTACGATTTTAATTTATATGAGTAATGGGACAATTTTAATTGCGTATTTACGCAAATACGCAGCTTATCTGGAGCTCTTAATTATACTAGACATTATAATCTTCCATAAAATAACATCATATGAAATCATTCGGCTTCAAACAAACACATTCTTTCCTCCATATTAACCATTTATACACAAGTCAACCATTTGTTATGTTCTTATCTTCTGATATTGTATATTTTATAAGTCCAGACAAAGGTGGCGGTTGCAATGACAAATATGTTCTAGCTATATATTTATATATCCTGTTCTTTCAATTTGCCTTCTTATTACAATAAATTTGAAACAGTAATAAATGGCAATAAAACTTACAAGGTTTTCTAATCACAATGTATATTCGGACTACACCCTGCATAACCCACAAATGGTAGAAACCTAAACTTTCTAACAAACATTTTTAAGATTTTGCCAAACATTTTTTATTTGGTTTATTTTGTATGTCATTTAGCATCATATTATAGATTTTCTTAACATATTTACTATCATCCCTCTTTATGATTTTGAACCAATAATTAATTATTCTTATTAAACAAGTATTTCTAAGCGTCATTCTGCCTAATTCACTATAAATAAAGGATATGGATAAATTTAAGCGTTATGTCCAGGAGCTTTCGGTGAGTTCAAGAGTGTAAAACTGACACAAAAGAACTTATTTGACAATTCAACATAAGCTTAATTTCACGTATTTAATTGTTTCCCGACATAGACAAAAATGTTTTTATTTTACGTTTAAATATTTAAAAAGAGCACTAAATAGGTGGAACAATATACGTCACAATGCAAATTTGTTTTAAGTCACCGAAATTCAAAAGTAATTAAAATCATTTTTAAATAAGAGAGGAGACGCTTGTCCGGAACATGTTTTTTCTTCAATTATCAATATAAAAATAAGTGAAATGTATATTGATGCATACCAAAGAAAAATGCTCTTGTTATATAAAAATCTCAAGATAAGTAAAAAAGATTCTTATGACCTGACTGAAAAAAACAATAATTTTGATTTTTAAATGATTAAATGAGAAACCTACAATAAATTCAAAAGCACAAAATGTTATGCCTAAATATCAATAATTAAAATACTATGCTTACAAATAATTTTCTTTTTTATTACCTCCTTGAACATTAAACACATCAATATCCTCACAGACCTCCATCTAATATTCATGATTTGTACAAAAGTCATCATTCTACTCCTATAAAGCCAACAACAAAGTGGTGCCCGTTGTTTATTTGAGGAAAAGGCCTTTAAGACATGCACACACATTTTATAAATGCATTCCCCACACACTTCACCACACACCTTGGCAGAGCCATTTTTAAACACCAGTTAAATGATTTGTCCAACTATTGCAGGATTATTCGAGGTAATAATACATGTCGAATAACTAAGATCTGTCATTGCAGCTTTACATATGAATACATACATAAAAATATTGTGACCAGTAGGACATGCCAATATTGACCAAGGAGCAATCTAAACCGACGCTATTATTGCAAAAAAGGAAACTAAATGCAAGTGCAAGTTTTCACATAAGTTGTCATGGGTGTAATTTCTTAGCAAAAATGAATTTTTGTTAAAAATTATAACATGCTATCGTTCAAGGAAAAGAGGCTAACTAATACACTTCAGGCAACCCTTAAAAATGCATTTACTCTTATTTCTAGTCGAATTATGGGTTGTCTTTCGCCAGCTTATTTCATTTATTTATAAATAAGTAATTTTGCGATGATTTTAAAAATAACTTAAGTAGCAAGGGACAACTCGCAAAGTTAAGTAAGTAAAGATGACACGGATTGAATTTATTCCAATCCAAATAGAATTATAAGCACGTGATGACATATTAACAGTATATTTACAAGATAACGTACAGTGCATATGTTAATGTACAAAACATTATCACAGTATAATTATTACTCAATTGCAGAAGTACGTAATAATAACTTATTCTTAAGAACGTAGAAAATGTATTAATGTGTGAGTTTCTTTGATGTATTTGTTAAAATGATTATATGATTTACATGTCCTGTTCTGACCCTGTCTAGCTGAACCCGGATAAAATTATATATTATACTATGATTATACTCCTCCTATGCGTTTATTTAAGGTCGCCGCCGGAAAGCCCATACGGGCGAACGTAAACTCAAGTCGGGCCATCCTAGAGCGTCCCGCCGAGATTATTTCGTCGATTTTTTTCCAGCTTTTATTGGTGGAGGAAGACCCCGGGTGCCCCTCCGGACATTATTACAGGCACGAGCGGGCACCTGGGTAGAACCACCGACCTTCCGTAAGCCAGCT